CTTCTCCAGATGGAATCCTCATGACCATGAGCTTCTACAAGCATGGCTCTGGCATGTGGGTACCAGGACATTTTTCCCAAATCACGTGGCCACATAAGCAGCCACGCGACATTTCCTTATATGCAAAGTGATCAATGGAAATTAAATCATCCAGCATTTCTCCCTGAAAATCAGGCTTGAAAGGTAGTGGGAAAATCTGAGCAAAAGATAATGCCCAACCAAAACGCATCTGGACTGTATTTAACTATGGTGCTATGCCACCCTGGGAGGGGAAGGGTGTCTGTCCCTCCGCCTGTCCCCCTTTGCTGTGGCGACATGGTGGCCTGCATCTTTTAGAGCCTAATGAACAGCCAGGTATGAGACTGCATTGACGAGGCATGTGGGGCTTCATGGGACGGGGGATGGAATCGGCCCTGCTCCTCACCATGACAATGCTCTGGGTTGGTTGCCACCCTCAAATGCCTCCTCCAGCTTCTGACTGACCATGAACCCAGCGGCGGCACACATACTAATCTCGAAACCCAGGGGCTTAATCCCTCTAGGTTTATTACCAAAATATTAGAATTCCAAATTCGCGTGGCCCCTATTGTGTGCACACAACATCATATGCTCTTCATAATCGACATTAGAAAACAAAATTTTCTAATGATGTCTTTGTGGCAGGTCTGAATGTTGGGGAAAATTCCAAATAACAATGATGGGTCTTTTGTCGTAATATTGAATGTGATCAATGGAGAGAGAGAGAGAGAGAGAGAGAGAGAGTAAAGTGGAAATCTGCCACACGGGTGGGAGGTGGGGGGGTATACTGGGGTTCTTGGTGGTAGAAAATGTGCACTGCACTGGTGAAGGGACAGGTGTTTGATCATTGTATGACCGACCGAGACTTGAACTGAAAGGCTTTGTTACTGTTCTCACAGTGATTCAACAAATAAATACAAAATATATTAGAAAAAAAAGGGCATTGTTTTAAAGTAAACTATTCAAACGACATAAGGAGAAGAGAAAGGCAATATTTTACTCATACATATAAAATCATAGATTTCTGAGGAATCTGACTTTACAAGTTAACAGAGTCTGATTAGGGGAAAAAGCTGATTAACTGGTTGGGGAAGAGAGCATACGGAAGAGTTTACAGATAAACACAATGGGATGGAAGTGCCTCAGGAGCACTGTGATAAACCTGAGTTCCTTGTGGCAAGGGAAACAGGACATACCAATAAAAGGTAAAAAAGGTAAAGGCCCTCCCGTCGATCATCGATTTTCTTGAGCGGGCCCAGTAACGTCTCCATTGGAGACTTTGTTGTTACTGTGTCTGGCATATCGAATACGTCACGGGGAGCTTGCCAGGCTCTGCCGTGCGGGCGAGATCCTTTCGGTAGCTTGCCGGACTCTCCGAGAGGGGCGGAGGAATCGAACTCGGGTCGGCCATGTTGGCTGCGTGCAAGGCAAACGCCCTACCACTGTGCTATCGCTCCAGCCAATATCATCCTAAAATGTTTAGAGCCACATTCCAATAAACACAGAGGAATGGAGGTGCTTCAGGAGCACTGTGATGGGTATCACCCAAAAAACCTAAGCTCTCTGTAGCAAGGGAGAAAGGACAACCACTGAACACTTATGGTAGGGCTCAGGGGACCTAATGCAGAGCTGGAACCATTGGAAATGTTGGACCATATGCAAGACAAGCACCTTCCCTGCTGTACTCTCTTTCTGGCCCTGACTTACAATACTCTTGATGATAGTTGCCTGAACATACTTTTACAACTGTGCTTCTAGGGGTTGGAGGTATAATACAGTGGGTAGGGCACTTGCCTTGCACATGGCTGACCCAGATTCAATTCCCATATGGTCTCGAGACCAAGCAGAACCAGGAGTAACCCCTGAGCATCACCAGATGTGGTCCAAAAAATGAAAAATCTAAACCAACACTGCATCTAGCTGCAGAGTGCCTGCTGCCCTCCACCAATATCTCAAAACCCTCTCCAATAAATACCACCCCCCCCCGAAAAAAAACAAACACCCAGCTCAGCTCTGTGGACCAACTCTGTCACCTCTGTCCATTTGTTGCTCCCTTACTGTGTATCTTTATAGCCCACATGGACAGAGTCAATTCTCCCTCTCCTTTTAGTTTTTTTATTTTTTATTTTATTTATTTATTTTTTTTTTGCGGACTACATCTGGCTGTGCTCAGGGATTACTCCTGGTAGGATTACTCCTGGGACTTTATGGGATCATACCCTAGTTGGAAGGAAGCGTCCTGCCCACTGTACTCTCACTCCAGCCGGGCCCTCTCCTGATTGACTTCACTCAGATGATAGACTCTAGTGTCCTGCACAGAGCTAATGTCCTGCTTCCATCTTTTTTTTTTTTATGGCTGTATGGTATTCCATGGCACTGCTACACTATAAACCTCTAGATCCATTTGTGGACAGCAGCTCTTTTTTGTGGCTGTTCCTGAATCTCATCCTTTACCTGAAATCGGTCAGGCTAGGTAAACCCCTTTCCAGCGTCTATGAGCCACTTCGGTTAATCCCAGAAGCTCAGGGAGGAGGGGATCCTTGATTTGCTGCCAATGGCTCAGTGGTGTGACAGGCAGCTGAAGTGAGTGTGTGGGGGTGGTGAGCCTGTGGGGTTTAGCTCTGAATCTGGAGAGATCACTCTACACACTCAGAAACAACTCAGGGTCAGACAGGTTAGACACTTGCTTTGTATATGCCTCCCCCCACCCCAGCATGAGCCCAGATACCACATATGGTTCCTGCAGGCACTGGGGATGTAGCCCAACCCCTTCCTCAAAAAAAAAAAAAAAAGAAAAGAAAAAAAAAACAACCCCACAGTCATCTTTGGGGGCTGGGGAAGAATTGGCTGCTGATGTGAAAGAAGAGGGCCTGGTCTGGAGAGCATGCCTAATGCATCAGGCTCAGAGTCCATCCCCCCCATAAAATACCCTTGCATTGGTTGTCAGAAATTCAGAGGCAAATGCCAGGAGAAATCTCCCTCCCCCAAACCTCTCCAACAAAATGGCAGGACAAATTCCTGGGAACACTCTGGACCCTTTCTCCCCCTTTTCCAGGCTTATTCATGCTTGTCACCCCCTAGAGTCCCCAGCGTGGGTGGATCCAAAGCTGCTCAGGGAGGCCAGCTCAAGGGTCACTCAGGTTCCACTACCTGGAATAAAGGCTGGGCTCTGTCTTCCTCTGCAGGGCCTCTGGCAAGATATTGAATGGCCCATTCACCTGGGCGCCCCAGCCACATCCCAATTGCTTCTGATCTAGTAACTGGGTTTCTGAGGGCCTCAGTAGGGGTGGAGGACAGCCTTAGCCCCAAAGCCAGGAGGAACAGAGTGGGCTTGTTCTCAGGGTGGGGGCACAGACGGGGTAAGCACCACCCTGGTGCAGCAGGCATGGTGCCCGAGGCCTGGGCCAGCAGCCCTGAGGGCACTTGCCAGCTGCGGGGGCGGGGGTGTGTGTGTCCTGACTCACTCAGTAAATTCAGGCTTCCGGTAGCCGCTCTCTGACCTGCGGTGCCACCGGTAGCTGCTCTCTGACCCGCGGTGCCACCACAGAATTCAGCAAAGGGAGAGTTGTGGGGCCCACACACGGTGGGCAGTCCAGGACAGACAGTAGGGTGGGGTGTTAGGTGCCTTGCTTCCTACCAAGCTCGGTTACATCCCTGCCACCACAAGGTCCCTGGTGGGGAGACCCCATGACCGCGGGGTGTGGCCTAACACCCCAAAAAATTAGAGAAAGGAAAAACAGAATGTTTCCAATAATAGTCAGGGCAAGAGGGGGAGGGGAGAGGCGCGAAGGGGTCCTCGCGACCCGCCCCCCGTGCCCTGGCAAGGCGGAATGTGGGGTCCTGGGGTATGCACGGCACGAGCCCCCGCTCCAGGCCGGGCGCTAACGGGGACACGAAAGCCACATCCCAGATGTCCTAGCCTTTCCCATCCCCCACTTCTGCAGAGCGCAGGCGCCAGGTGCCCCCCCAGTCCTGCCCTGCCACTTCCTAGGAACGCGGGCGGTGGACGGAGCCCGGGACCCCAGGCCCTGCCGCCGCTGCCCCGGGACCCCGCAACGAGCGCGCCGGCCCGGGTGGCCGCAGGTCCAGGCTCTGTCTCGCGACTCGGGCGGCACCAGACCCACAGCGTAGCGGTGAGTGAGCGCAGCTGGGGAGGAACCCGGGCGTCCCCGCGCCCCGCCCCGCGGCCCTCCCCGCGGGGCCCGAACGCCCAAGCAAGGGCCCCTCTTCCCGGGAGCGGGTAGGGCGCGGACCGGAAAGCACCGCCAGACCGCGGAGCGCGTCTGCACCGGGCGCCGGTCTAAAGCCCTGGGCTTCGCGCGCCAAGGCCCCAGGCAGCCCGGGAACCTGCGACCCAGCCAGGGCGGGGCGCGGGGGACGCGGGGAACCCGGGAATACTTCGCGTTACCCCGCCCCAGCCCCTACACCCGGGGGCCTCGGGGACGCTCTGTGGGGCCTCCGTGCACCCCTCTGATCCTTTAAACACGGCCTGTTGTTGGAGGGGGCTCGGGCACTGCCCCCTGTCCGGCACCCTCGAGGCCCCTGCGGGTCCCCTTAACCCGCTGCGATCCAGATGTTCCGATTTCATCCACCGGAAGGGAGCAGGGCTGCAGGCGACGCGCAGGGAGGCGGCTCGGGTGGGGGGACCCCAGGCTGGGGGCTGCGTCCCAAACAAATTCTAAACAGTCGGTTGCCGTGGCAACGGCCCGGGGCGGCCTCTGCAGATGGGGCCGGGTCTGGGAGCGCAGCCTCCTGGAGCTCCCACCGGTCGACTGTTGTGTCTTCCTGTTTAGTCGCCGTGGTAACGGCGACCACAGCCCCGGGGGTAAGGGGCGTGGCATCACCTGGGCTCCGCCCACGGGGCGGGGCGGGTCCCGGGCCGGGGGTGTCCCTTGGAGTAGGATTTTCGGGCCCCGCCCTGTCCCTCCGGCCCCACCCAGGCTGCAGACCCTTGCAGTTCGCAGCTGTTTCCCTCACCTCTGCCGCAGACGCCCCGAGCTCGTGAGGTGAGGCTGTGGGGACCACGAGGGTGGGAGCAGCGGTTTGCAAGTCCTGGGTTCATGCGGGAGTCCTGGCAGGGGAACCAGGGCGTCCCTAGAAAGACGAGGGCTGGGCCAGCAGTCTGGACAGGAGAGGGATGGAGACGTGGACTCGAAAGGATCATACATCGGATGGTGGAGGCCTGGTGCCACAGGGTCTGAGGGAAGAGGGGCTGGGGTCTGGACCCTGGATCAGAGGGAGGAGGGGCCGAGGGACACTCCCAGGTCTGAGAGAGGGCTGCGGTCTGGGTCCCTGGGTCTTGAGGGAGGAGCCTGGGACTCTGTCTGGAGGTTGTGAGGTTGGGGTTCCCCGGGTGTCTGCGGGAGAATGGGGTTCAGAACCACTGAACCTCCTTCCCATCCTGGAGATAGAATTCATTCTCGCACGCTGAGGCGGGAGGTGCTGGCCCGGGTTCAAGGAGAGCGGGCGCGAGTAGGCAGAGGCGATGGGTGTGCCCAGCACGGCGGGGCGGGGTGGGGGGGAAGGGGGCCTCCACTTCCGGAGCCAGGCGCGTGCATTCCTGCGCTCTGACCTCAGGGCTAGCCGGGCCAGGGCAGAGGTGGACCCTCCGCGGGAGTGGGACAGCGGTTCCAGGTGTCCCCCGAGCCGCAGCCCTGGCGGGGACACCGACCTTTTGGGAGGTAGAGGGCGCTGGATCTGGGGTCCCCTGCACAGCGTCCGGCGTGCCAGGCGGGGAGTATCAAGCCTCGGGGATCGTGGCCACTCCGTCCTGTGAGACCCGGGCACGCGACTGTCCGGGCTCCCAGCGCATTCTCAGAGGCACCCCGAGCCCACATGGTTCAGTCGTAGAAGTCGGGCGCAGGGCCTCCCCGTCCGAGGAGCCGCGTTCCGGGATGTCCTCGCACCTCCTCCTTAGGAATCCCCGGTAGGGCGGGGGTCCAGGCGCCGCCTACGGGCCCCCCCCCCACCACATTCCACATGGCTCGGCAACTTCAGTCCTTATAAGGCCGTTGAGTCTCCGGCCGTCGCCCCGCGCCAGCCCCGCCCCTAGACCTCGCCAACCCCGCCCCTAGACCGCGCGGGGCCCCGCGCCCCGCGGGAAGGGGCGGGGACGCCCGTCACCGCCCAGTACCCGGGGGCGCAGCCAAGTCCAGGCTGTGGGAGGCCGCCGCTGGGCAGAGCCTCGGCTCCGCCGGACGCTGACGTTTCCTCGCCGCCCCGCGGCCTTTCCAGGTGTGCGACTCTTCTACGCCGGCCGGTTCCTCGTCTGTTGGTTCTAGACCCTCCCCGCAGGTATGTCTGGAGCCCGGGTCTGAGGGAGGAGGCTGGGGGCTGGGAGGAGGGGCTGGATCCTTGGTCTGGGGGAGGAGGGGCACCGGTTTTCTTTCTTGCGATGGAGGCGGGACCCAGGCCATCTTGTCGTGCACTCTGAGGACCAGGACCTGGTGCCCGGGTCGTCAGAGACCCCAGGTCCCCGCTCTTTGCCCTCTATGCCCGCACCCCTAGGAGTAAATTTGATTTGCTGTGGCTGCTCTGGGAGGCCTTCTGAGCTTTCTCTGGGAGTCAGGGAGGCTTGGAGGACAAGAAGGCCCCAGGGCGCAGCCTGGGCCCAGGTAGCTGAGATAGTGGGAGGAAGGCTGGATGGGGGTTTGGGGACTCAGCCCCCGAGGGTGGGGCGCAGATGCCCAGAGGGAGGAGGAAGCTGGGCTTTGGGGCCTAATTTCCTGTCTGAGTAAGCCTCATCTCTGAGGAGGGGGTACAGCTGCCAGGAAGCCCTGATGTAGACACTCCAGAAGTGAGGGGCAGCACTGAGTCGCTGGTCACATGTGGCGCCCAGCACATCCCAGCCACAGGGACAGCAGACTCGGGACCCTGTGGGACTTCAGGTGACCAGAATCCTTTTGGAGTCCCAAAAGGAACTGGGGTGCAGGGTCCGGCCTGCAGAGCCCAGGACACACGGGGGGGGAGGGGTTTCTGTTGGAATTGGAGGGAGGGGGACTGGAGAGGGGAAATAATTTGGGCCAGAGTTTGGAACGACAGGTGAGCTGAGTATTTTGGGGTTTGCTTTCTTTCTTGCGGCATCGGAGCTGACTCCTGGCTCTATGCCCAGGGATCCCTCTGGAGGGCTTGGGGAACCCTGTGTGGAACTGGGGATGGGACCCAGGACAGCTGCATGCAAAGGTCAGGGACTTTCCCACGGTCTGGTCCCTCAGGGCCTGGCTGAGTGCCTTAGGGGGCACAGAGAAGGGAAGAGGACTGACTATTCACGGAAGACAGGAGAGAGGTGGTCCTGCCCCCTCCTGAAGTTGTCACAGGTGGGAGTTTGGGGGTGCCAGGGGTGCTGCCCAGGCTCTCCTCTGAGGACACCCTCTTCCTCCCACCCAGCCATGCCGGTGACTGTGACACGCACCACCATCACGACCACCACGTCGTCGTCCTCTGGCCTGGGCTCCCCGACCATTGTGGGGTCCCCGAGGGCGCTGACCCAGCCCCTGGGCCTGCTGCGCCTGCTGCAGCTGCTGTCCACATGTGTGGCTTTCTCGCTGGTGGCCAGTGTGGGCGCCTGGACGGGGCACATGGGTAACTGGTGCATGTTCACCTGGTGCTTCTGCTTCGCCGTGACCCTCATCATCCTCTTCGTGGAACTGGCAGGGCTGCAGGCCCGCTTCCCACTGTCCTGGAACAACTTCCCCATCACCTACGCCTGCTACGCCGCCCTCTTCTGCCTCTCGGCCGCCATCATCTACCCCACGACCTACGTGCAGTTCATGTCCCATGGCCGCTCGCGCGACCACGCCATTGCCGCCACTGCCTTCTCCTGCATCGCCTGCGTGGCCTACGCCACGGAAGTGGCCTGGACCCGGGCGCGGCCCGGTGAGATCACAGGCTACATGGCCACCGTCCCAGGGCTGCTGAAGGTGCTGGAGACCTTCGTGGCCTGCATCATCTTCGCCTTCCTCAGTGATCCGTCCGTGTACCAGCAGCGCCCGGCGCTCGAGTGGTGCGTGGCCGTGTACGCCATCTGCTTCATCTTGGCGGCCGTGGCCATCCTGCTGAACCTGGGCGAGTGCACCAACGCGCTGCCTGTCCCCTTCCCCACCTTCCTCTCAGGGTTGGCCCTGCTCTCCGTGCTCTTGTATGCCACGGCACTGGTGCTCTGGCCCCTCTACCAGTTTGACGACAAGTATGGTGGCAAGCCGAGGCGCTCCTTGGACCCCTACTGTGCCCGGAGGCACAGTGACCATGTGTGCGACTGGGACCGCCGCCTTGCCGTGGCCATCCTCACAGCCATCAACTTGCTGGCATATGTGGCTGACCTGGTGCACTCTAGCCGCCTGGTCTTTGTGAGGGTCTGAGCCAGCCTCTTCCTCCTCCCGAGGGTGCTGCCTTCCCCTGCCCCCACTTGAGCCCCTCGTCACTCTCTTCTGCACCCAAGTCTCTGCTGGACCCTTCCCACTCTCTTCTCTCACCCTTTCACCCTTTTCTGACTTTCTCTGGAACCCTGCCACTTCCTCCTCCTCTCCCCTCCCCCCTGCCTGTTCCCCAGCTCCAAAGGTGCTGAACTCTACCCCCACATCCCTCTTCTTCGCCCAGTTCCATGCCCTCAGCCCCCCATGGGGGGCCTCATTGCCAAAGCATGCCTGCCCCACCCTGGCCGTGCCTTAGTCTGTGTATGTGAGTTTGGGGGTGGGGTGGGGTCTGTAGCTAGGGATTGGGCCCCATTTTTTTTCCAGAGGAGAAAGGACATACAGTATACTTTCCATTTAAAAAAAAAACGGGGGAGGGCAGAACAACAGTACAACAGAGCATTTGCCTTCCATGCGGCCAACCTGGATTTGATCCTCGGCATCCAATAGGGTCCTCCACGCACCGCCAGGAGTGATTCGTGAGTGCAGAGCCAGGAGTCAACCCTGAGCATCACCAGGTGTGAACCGGAAAGCCAAAAAAAAAAATTGGGGGGCGGGGAAGCAGCTGGATTCGACCCCCAGCAATGCAGGGATACCCCCGAGCACTGACCTGGGTGATTCCTGAAAGCACCGCCCCTGCAAACAGCTCTGAAGGTGCATCATTTCCAGGAGGTGGGAGACACCCAGCACAGACCAGGGCCCTGTCCACCACCCAGTGCACTGATCATCTGCAGGGGTTTTCATTCAACTTAAGGAACACCCTCCTCCCTGCGGCCCCCCCCCCCCCCCCCAGACTCTGGACCTCTGTGCTGGGCTCTCTTAGTAGTACCCAGAGTCATGGAAGGAGCTGGCCAGGAACCCGTTACCTTCCAGACAACTGCCGGAATATGAAGTATTTATGAGGGGTTACTAGGTGCCCCACCACCTCCTCAGTGTCCAAAATAGCAACAATAGCACTACCAGCTCCTCAAGAAGGAGAGGGAAGTGGCCACTGCCCGCCTTAAAGGCCATGTAGGCAGAGTCAGGAAAGGAGATTGACAAGGTGGCCCCCCCTCCCTTAAAGGGGAAGTCATTTTCTTTGCTTTTCCCTCCCTCTGGGATGGCTTGGGGTGGGAGGAATTGCCATAGAGGGAGGGTCGCATTGCTTGGCTGTGTTGCACATGCGTGTCTGTGAGAGCTGCTTCCTGCTGCTGCTTCTGCTTCCCCAGGACTCATGTATCATGTGATATATATAAATGTATAAATATATATTTTATTTTTTTTTAAGTTCCCAAGGCTTTCTGGCAGCTAGGGCTGTCAATCAGAGATGGAAACCAAGTTGTGTCCCTTCTCCCACGCCCACATCTAAAATGTTCAAAACATTTTTTTAAATCTCAATATAAAGTTGAAAGAAAGGCTAAGAGCTGGCTTTATTGTTTGGGGAGACGGCGTGACTCAGGGTTCAGGGGTTTGGGGCCACAGTAGAGGATGAGCACAGATACTCCCTGTTCTCTCAGACCCGGAGGGCAGGAATGAACACAGTACCACCCTCTGCGTGTGTGGGGAGGGGCAGGAGCACAGGGGATGTCTGGTGCCTCCCTCAAGCCAGTTTCTCTACCTTCCCACCGTGGTAGCAGCCTCTAACTCCAGTGGTCAGCCCCTGGTGGACTGGGCCTCCCTTTCCCGGTGCCCACCCCTCAGCTTTCACTGGATTTTGCCCCCCTCCCTCCCTCCCTTACTAGCCTCAGGCTCACAGCCTGTCTCCCGAAGCCCAAATTTTTCCCATCTCCCCTCCACATAATCTCAAACCCCTTCCCCCCCTACGGAGCCCGTAGGTACCCCTCTGCCCCCATCAGCTTTGTCATTTGTGGTTACACTGGACAGTATTCAGGGCTTACTCCTAGATTTGTGCTCAGGGGTTAGTCACTGCTGTGGTGCCTGGGGGACCATATGGGCTGACCATATGGGTTCATCCTGGCGCTACCTCCAGTCCCATTGGCTCGCTTACCTTTGGTTCTAAGCTCAGGTAGTGTCTTGATAAAGATGTTAAGATGAAATGAATTTCTCTCACCAGCCCATCACCCTAACTTGAGAACCACAAATACATTAATTTTGTGTCCGGGAAAATTCCAGAAACATGCAACACACGTCCCTATATTTTTGTGTGTGGGGGGGTGGGCCTGGAGGGCTACAACCGGCGGTGCTCAGGACTTAATTCCTGCTCTCAGGGCTCACCTCTGGAGGTGCTCAGAAGCCCCTCTGCGGTGGCCGGGGAGGCCCTTTGCAGGGTTTAATCCCCACACTGTCTCTAGCCGCATGCAACTCATTTCCTTGTATCAGCTTGCCAAAGCAGGAGTCCTGCAGAAGCCGGGTGAGTGCTAATCAGAACCCGGACACTTTTGAGAGGTCTTGGGACTTCTTTTGAACTCTCAGGGTCCTTTAAAAGAGCACCTCCCTCTTGCGCCATCTACACTCCCTCCTTCTGGAGGACCCAGAGGAGGGAAGCTCTGGAACCTGGCTGACATGCTGGCGTGGACAAAAGGCCACAGAACGCGGAATCGGAAGAAGGGCATCCCCCGCCTTCCTCTTCCCAGGGGACCTCAGTATGGGGGGGGGGGGGATTAGAAGAGGACTCGGATTCTCTCACCTCTCAAGACCTCGGAAAGCCAGACCCCACCTCCGAAAGTCCCAGGGAAGAAGTGGGCGGTGGCCGAGGTGCCCAGGCCCCGCCGCAGCGCCCCGCCCTGCCGTGCGGAGCACGCTGGGAAAAGAGGTTCTCGCCGGCCTCCCAGCCACGGGCGGTCCGCGGGCTCCGACTACATGTACCAGGATGCGTCGCGCTGGCGGTGGGCGGGCCTGGCTGCGTTGCCCTTGGCAACAGCCAGGGTCGGCCGGGAGCGGAGACCCGGAGAGAGAGCGCTGGAGCTCGAGGAGAGACGGCGACGCGGGCGGGGCAGGCGGCGGGTCCTGACAGGGGGGGGGGGCCAGTCCTCCCCGACAGACCCCACGGCGACGTCCAGAAATGTCGCAACCCACGGACGGAGGCTGACCTCTGAGATGTGGAGGGAGGAGAGATGCTCCGTGACAGAGAGCCGGGGGCCCGAGCGATAGCACAGCGGGAAAGGTGCTGGCCCTGCACCCAGCTGACTCGGGTTCGACCCTGGCATCCCCTAGGGTCCCCCCAGCACCACCAGAAGTCAGCCCTGAGCACTGCCGGGCGTGGTCCGAAAACCAAATAAATAAATGAAATAGAGAGCTGGGGAGAGGGAGACACACACGGGGGAAACGGGGAGACACGGATCAAATCGGACATTCAGACACCGCCCCCTCCCCGCCCCCAGGACGCAGGGATCGATAAGCAGAGAGCGTGGGTCCGAGAGAGAAGAGACAGAGGCAGCGTTCTGAGAAGCAGCGGGAGAGACACAAGGGGAGACTCAGAGACAAAGTAAAGTATTTGCAGAGGATGAGCACTGCAGAGATGGAGCACTGAGAGAAAGAGCACTGTGAGAGCAGGGCGATAGCTAGAGGAAAGGACAGGAGAGCAGAGACAGAGACAGAGACGGCTGGAGAGACAGCGGGGGGCGGGGAGAGAACGCCCTCGCCCCCACCCCGCGCCGGGCTGCCGGAAGACCCCGAGGGGGAGCCCAGAGACCGGGAAGAAGCCCCGGGCTGGCGGGGGCGGGGCGCGGGGCAGACCCGGCACAGGTGGCATCGCCCCAGGGGGGCGCGCCCGCTCCCCAGCCCCGCGCCCCGCGAGTCGCGTGAGCCGCGGCCTGGGGTGCGGGGCCGCCGGCCCGCGCTGTCCCCTCCCTCCAGCCAGCCCCCGGAGCGGGGTGCGCACGTGTGTTGGGGGGCGGCCATTGGTCCCGCGCCTGCCGCCGGAACCGCCCCCCCCGTCGTCCTGGCAACGCTCCCCCCGCCCGGCTCCCACTTTCCAGCAGGTGCCCCAGCCCGAGCGGGTGCGGCGGCTCGCGGCGCCCCCCGCGCGCTCCCTGCGCCCGAGCACCCCGCGCCCGCCGCGCACCCCGGCCGGCTCGGCTCCGCGCCGGCGCGCCCCTTTCTCCGCTCCGCTCCCGAGGCCATGGCGGGCCTGGGCCCCGGCGGGGGCGACTGCGAAGGGGGGCCCCGGCCCCTGTTTTGCAGAAAAGGGGCGCTGAGGCAGAAGGTGGTCCACGAAGTCAAGAGCCACAAGTTCACGGCCCGCTTCTTCAAGCAGCCCACCTTCTGCAGCCACTGCACCGACTTCATCTGGTGAGCACGGGACGCCTGAGTCCCAGCTGGGAGGCTTGGGGGGTCGAGATCCTGGATCTGAGGGAGGAGGTGGGTCTGGACCCAAAGGGCTGAGGGAGGAGGGCCTGAGGAGCTGCACTCCAGGTCTGAGGGAGGAGGTGGGGTGGGGGAGTCAGGATTGGAGGGCTGGGGGCGGTCTGAGGGAGGAGGGGAGGAATGTCTGGACCCTAGAGTCTGAGGGAGGAGGGGTTGGGAGTCTGGGTTTCTGGTCTGCTGGAGGAGACTGTGGCCTGGTCTGGGGGAGGAGGGAGTTGGACCTCAGGGTCCGAGGGAGGAGGGGGCTGGACCCCAGCTGGGGTCTGAGGGAGGAGGACCTGGGCTGAGTGTTAGGACTGTGGAGAGAAGGGGAGAGTGGGGCTAAGACCCGGGTGGCTTGGGATGCAGGGGAGGAGAGGTGAGAGGTCACTGACTCTTGCAGGGGCATCGGGAAGCAGGGTCTGCAGTGCCAAGGTAAGCGCTCGGGGGAGGGTGGAGGCTGGCACACGTGTCCCTGGTCCCCAGAGAGGCGTGGGGGAGCCCTGGGCGGGGGGTGTGGCAGAGACAGTGCGGCAGTTGGGGGCGCTCTGACGGAGGGGCCACCGCGGAGGTGGTGCCGGCCCCTCCCTCGGCCGGCTCCAGGTGGGGACAGATATTTGGAGAATCTGTTGCCATGGGAACAGGGAGATTTGGAAAAGGGGAGCTTGAAGGGGGGGGGGGCTGGAGATGCCAAGTCAGACCCCCCCACCCGCCAGCACCATGACAACAGGAGCTGTCCTGGCAGGGACAGGCGGGGTGGGGTCACCCATGGGCGGGGTGGGGGCCGGGTGGGGCCAGCAGTTATGGGGGGCGGGAGAGGGGGGTGAGTCCTCAGGCACCAGCTGCCACTGCTAAGAACAGAGTGAGTCAGGGAGGGGGGCGGGCCGGGCGGTTGTGGTGCCCCCAGACTCACTCCTGCCCCAGTGGCTGCTGGGCTGTGAGCTACTAGAGCTGGTTAGGCTCATCCCATCCGCCTCGCCTGAGTTTTTCCCTTCTGACCATCATTCCAGCCTCCCCTCCTGTCCCCTTCTCCCATCTCTGTCTCTCCCTGTCTCTCTCCAGGCTGTGCCCACACTCTGCTCTGCGTGTCTCTGTCTGCCTTTGACTCCGTCTCTTGCTGGAGTCATCTCTGATTCTGTCTGTCTGCTGAGAGCTCTCTTGGCATCCTCTTTCCCGTGCACACACCAGTGGGGCCTCTCTGTCTCTCTGATTCTGTCTCTCTGTCTCTGTCTCTGTGTTTCGCTCTCTCTCTGTCTCTCTCTTTGTACCTCCCTATGTCTCTCTTTCTCCCTCCTTTATGCTGGGGGCTTTCTCCCACTGATCTCTGGCCCTTGGGGTCTCTGTCTGTGTGTGTGTGTGTGTGTCTCCCTTCTGCTGGGGCTCCTCTCCCTCTGATTCCTGGCCCTCGGGGTCCCTCTCTGTCTGTCTGTGATTCTCACCCTCAGTCTGCAGTTTTGTGGTTCACCGACGATGCCACGAATTTGTGACCTTCGAGTGTCCAGGCGCCGGGAAGGGCCCCCAGACGGACGTGAGTGCCCGGACACCTGGTTCTTCCTCCCTGGGCCTCGCCCCGCCCTCACCCCCTCGGCGTCCGTCCCAATTTCTCCTGCTATTTTTATGGCTGGGCTGGGAGGGGGCCTGGAGAGAGGGGGGAGCTTGTCTGGCCCAGATTCCCTGCCCTTGGCCTGGAAAGGGGGGATGAGAGGGGATGGAAGACAGGCTGGGGACACAGGTGGGGACAGAGAGTGAGTGGGGTGTGGAGACCAAGAATTGACTAAGGTGCATGTCGGGGGAGGCTGAGATCCAGGGAAGAGAGAGAGAGAGAGAGAGAGAGAGAGAGAGAGAGAGAGAGAGAGAGAGAGAGAGAGAGATAGAGAGATTTGAGACTTTGAGACCCCAGGGTAAGACAGAGAGGATATTAGAGACACAGTAAGTGGGAGAGACCAGCGGAGAGATTGAGGGAAGAGAGAGATAGGAGAGAATGGGAGAGAGAAGAAACACAGGAGGGGTGGGGGGTGCGGAGACAGAAACATTCGGAAAGACACGTGGAGAGCAGGAGCAGCCCTGGACAGGGCTTAGGGGTGCTGGGACAGTGCCTGGAGCCATTAGGTAGCACATACATGTGCACATACAGAGTATGCAGGCATGCACACACATAAACATGAACACGGATATGCATGCATGTGAAAACATGTGAACACACAAATGTGCACACACACAATATAAGTATATGTGCATACACATGAAAAAAGTGGACATGCAAGAATGTGGGCAGTACGTACACATGCAAGTACATGAACACCCACGCACACACATCTCTCTGTCCCCATCAAAGACTTGCCACCAGGTCAGCCCTGCATCTGCTCCTGTTCCCTCCCTCCGAAAGCCCAGTGTCCATGGCTGGGGTGCTCACCACTGCAGCTACCACTCAGGGACAGGAACTGACCGGGACTGACATCTTCCAAGCCTGGACAGGCTCCAAGTAACTCCTTGCCCCAATCTAAAGACTGGTATTGTTGGGGCCCCAAGTGAGATCTGACACAGGCTGGGGGATGGTCTTCGGGGAGGGAGAGGCCCAGCAGAATGAGGGGAGGGGAGTGATGTTCCCAGAGAGCAGATACTCTGAGCCCGTGTCCCTGCCTCCTGCACCCCCAATTCTGTTTGCAGTGCTAGTTGCATGCACTTCCTGGCCTGTTTGCGTCGACCTTGATAGCACGGTTCCATTACGCTTTCTTACCAGCTCCCCAAACTAATGACTGGCTCAGTTACACCCCCAAATTCACTGACCTCCTGCAACTCCTGGGTTTCTCTTCTCTACAGTGCTAGGGAGGGGGCCAGAGAGATAAGACAGCGGGGAAGGCACTTGCCCTACATGTGCCCTGACCTGGGTTTGATACCCGGCACCCCACATGGTCCCCTGAGCCCTGCCAGGAGTGATCCCTGAACACAGAGCCAGGCATAAGCCCTGAGCACCTCCAGGAGTGATCCCTGAACACAGAACCAGGCATGAACCCTGAGCATCTCCAGGAGTGATCCCTGAGCACAGCCAGGTGCAAGGCCTGAGCACCGCCAGGAGTCATCCCTGAGCACAGACCCAGGAGTCAGCCCTGAGTACCCCTGGGTGTGGCCCAAATACCCCTACCCCCAAAACAATACTTGAGCCCTATTGGACAAGTCACAAGAGACTGACATGGATGATACTTATGGCTGAAGTCATCACTATTGCCAGTGTCACTGGTGAAGTGACTGTCTTTCCTGAATAACTCCGACTTTTTTATTCTGATTACTGAGATGGAGCTGACTGAACAGGCTGCATCTTGCCCTCCAAGACCTCCCTCAGGAGACCAGAGATGCAGCTCAGAGGTTAAGGCACTGCATGCTGCCATGGGTGCAACAATGGTTTGAACCCCAGCGTTGCATATGATCCCCCAAGCACTATTCCTGACCCCTGAGCACAGTCAGGAATGGCTCCCCCACCAAAAAAAAAATGTAAGATTAAAAAAATAAAAGAGAGTAAGGCACTGCTCTTTGAAGTATAGAGTATGGGAAGGAGCCATGAATGACCTTGGCCTAGGGAGTCGCAGTCCTGGTGGGTCCTGAGTCCTTCCTGAAGGGGTCATCACCGTAAGATGAACCATACCTGCAACATCTAACTTGGGTTGGCCAAAGAAGGCCTTTGAGTGCCAGAATCTTTTGTTTGGGGGCACACTCGGCAGAGCTCAGGGATCTGTCCTGACCTGACCCTGTGCTCAGGGATGACTCCTGGCAGGGCTTGGGAGACCATACACACTCCTGAGGATCAAACCCCGGTAGCCGTGTATAAGGAAAAAGCCTTAACCACTGGTCCTCTCTCTGGCCCCGAGAGACTTGCAAGAGATATTTGGACCATCAGCACCCTCCACCTGCCCATGGAAAATTCAAAGAAAACCACTAAATTAAACAGAAGTCCTGAATTTGTCCCTCCAACCACACTTTCTGGGCATGTTTGACAAAAAGGCAAACTGCAGATCCTTGCTCCCTTGGTCACTGCCGGGAACAGAGGACTGAAGACCTTAGTTGTGTCCGAAATTCATGCTGAATTAGACTGGACACAGAGGCCGCCTTCAGGAGAGAGTTGGTTGATGGATTTCCACAGAATGGAGGAGGGCACTGAGGCTTGGAAGTGGAAATGAAGCTTCCAAAATCACAGGCCTGGGAAATAACCCAGCCCTTAATGAAGCCAGGCTAGGTGCACACATCAAGTCACTAAGAATAACCTGCCAGGCCACAGCGATAGTACAGAGGGGAGGGCATTTGCTTTGCTGTGCACACAGCCAACCTAGGTTCAATCCCTAGCATCCTCTATGGTCCTCCGAGCACCATCGGGGTAATTCCTGAGTGGGTTTCTCTTCTCTACAGTGACTTGTCCAATAGGGCTCAAGTATTGTTTTGGGGGTAAGGGGTATTTGGGCCACACCCAGGGGTACTCAGGGCTGACTCCTGAGTCTGTGCTCAGGGATCACCAGGAATAACCCCTGAACCTCGCTGGGAGTGATCCCACCCCCACCCTTGACCCCTCCCCCAAAATATCCTGCAAGGGGGTTCCTGAGCCAGCTCTGCTCTGTGAGTCACTGCTTAAACTTTCACTTAGGGGATCATGAAGGCAGATCTGGGGCCTGGGGACCCCCACAAAGTCTTAGAGGAGTTACCTGTGGGAGGTGGGGACCTGTAGGGAAGGCGGGCTATTGGACATCCCCACCTCTTTCTTTTCTTCCCAGCGCCACCTGGCGGTGAGCTCAGCTCTGCGAATCTCACCCCCTTCCAGGCCGCTGCTGCCTCGCCCCCCTTCACTCTTCTCCAGAGCGCCCATCAGCGCGCCTCATACTATATATTTTATTTCCTGACCTCACACTATATATCTTATTTATTTCATGACCTCATACTATATCTTTTATTTCGTCATCTTCATCCTTCCTCCACTGCAAAGTCAAAAGTTCCTGCAGATAGGAATCTGCTTTGCTCTAGCCAGGAACAGTCAGTCTGGCGCACAGCAGTGGCGGGGAAAAGTGGCTGGCAAGGGAGTGAGTGTCGAGCGGGCTCTGGCCGCAGGGGGCAGGCGCCAAGGGCTCTAGGACACGCCCCGGCCCACTGGCCCCGGTGTTGGACTGCCCTCTGCCCGCAGGACCCTCGGAACAAGCACAAGTTCCGTCTGCACAGCTACAGCAGCCCCACCTTCTGCGACCACTGCGGCTCGCTCCTCTACGGGCTCGTGCACCAGGGCATGAAGTGCTCCTGTGAGTCAGCGCTTCGGGGCACGTCTGGGATCGGGTGGAGGCCTGCAGTGGGGTGGGGTGGAGGAGCGGGGCGCGGGCGGGATCTGCGGGGCCACCTCAGGCTTGTCGCTCCGTCCATTCTCCCCCACCTCAAGGCTGCGAGATGAACGTGCACCGGCGCTGTGTGCGCAGCGTGCCCTCTCTGTGCGGCGTGGACCACACCGAGCGCAGGGGCCGCCTGCAGCTGGAAATCCGGGCTCCCACGGCCGAGGAGATTCACATCACGGGTGAGGCCCGCCCCAGAGACCTTGCCCACACCATGACCACGCCCAGACCCGCCCATCAGAGACCCCGCCCACACGGTGACCCCGCCCCGGCAGCCGAGTGCCTGGCTAAGCCCCTTTCCTCTGCCTCTGGGATTTCCACGCCCTCACTTTTAAAGCCTGTGAGGGCTTTCAGTCAAGGCAGTTTTTCTGGGGCTAATATCTGTCTGGGGGTAAGCGTCCTAGGGAGATAGGTACTGGTAATATGGTAAAAGTCCTGATTCCAGATTCTTAAGAAAAAAAAAAAGGCTTCTTTTCTTTTTGCTTTTAGTTTCACACCCAGCGATGCTCAGGGGTTTACTCCTGGCTTTGCACTCAGGAATTACTCGGGGTTTACTCCTGGCTTTGCACTCAGGAATTACTCCTGGTGTTGCTTGGAAGACCATATGGGACAAGGGGGATGGAACGCGGGTGCACCGTGTGGGAAGCAAATGCCCTTTCCTCTGGACTATCTCTTCCGCTCCCCAGAAAAGGGCTCCTTTATAGGGAACTTGGGGTTAAATTTATTTATTTATTTATTTTGCTTTTGGGGCCACACCCGGCCATGCACAGAGGTTACTCCAGGCTCCGCACTCAGGAGTTACTCCTGGCGGTGCTCAGGGTACCATATGGGATGCTAAGAATCGAACCCAGGTCGGCCGCGTGCAAGGCAAACGCCCTAACCGCTGTGCTCTCTCCAGCCCCTAAATTTATCTTTTTTTAGGTCATACTTGACAGTGCTGAGTGATCACTCCTGGTGGGGATCAGGGGACCATATGGGGTGCCCAGGATCAAACCCAGGTTGGCTGTGTGCCATGCAGTGCCCTGCCCGCTGTACTACTGCTCCAGTCCTGCGGTCTGGTTTTTATGTTCAAGCCCTAAGAGATCAGAGCTAGAGAGATAGGACAGTGGGTAGGGCTCTTGTCTCACATGCAGCCACCTGGGTTCCATCCCAGGCACTTCATATGTTTCCCTGAGCCCCAGGAGTGATTCCTGAACACAGAGCCAGGAGTCAGGCCTGTGCACCACTGGGTGTGACTCCAAAAAGCCAAAACCAAAGAAGAGGTAAGAGAGCAAAGAAAACTGGATCAGGATGAAGGAGACGGTGGTGTGGCTCCAGGTCACTCACTGGGGGGCTGCTTACCGTATCGGCTGTCCTTCACTTTCCCCATAGTGGGCGAGGCCCGGAACCTCATCCCCATGGATCCCAATGGCCTGTCTGACCCTTATGTGAAACTGAAGCTCATCCCGGATCCCCGGAATTTGACAAAGCAAAAGACCCGGACGGTGAAGGCCACCCTCAACCCCGTGTGGAACGAGACCTTTGTGTTGTGAGTCTGGGTATATAGGGGAGGCAGTGGGGGCCGAGAGAGAATTATACGGGGGCCCCAGGCCTCAGAAAGCAGCTGGTGGAAAATGTTAGGATGGAGGACACTTCCGGCCCCCCTTGTCAGCACCCCCCCCAAATACGAAGGACAGCAAAAGTGGGTAGGAGAAGTAAATGAAGTGACTGAGGGAGGGAGGAAGGAGCTATAGAAACTGATACAATCAGCGCCAGCTTTAGAGGGGATCAGAGATGCAGAGGAGAGGAGTGAGGACAGGGGAAAGAGGAGAGAGTGAGCTCAGAAGAGGAGCAGGGAACCGAGACAGATGGGATAGAGAGCTGTGGGCAGGGGTGCTGGGGACAGTGGGTGGGTGGGTAGGCAGAGGGAGAAAGAGAAAACAACTGACAGGAAGGCAGAGGAACAGCGACCCCGAGGGAGCAGGGGGCCTGAAGAGGAAAAACAGACAAAGGCCAGGGACCTGGGAGACAGAGAGGGGAGGGAGAAGACGGAGTTCTCCAGGGGTATTGAAGGGGCGCCTTTTTGGAATATAGAGGTGGGGGACACTTTACTGAGTGAGAAACAGGCCCTGAGGGGCCAGAGCCATAGTGCATTGGGAGGGCATTTGCCTTGCAAGTGGCCAACCTGGGTTCGATCCCTGGCATCCCATAGGGTCCCTGGAGCACCACCAGGAGAGATTCCTGAGTGCAGAGCCAAGGTTAACTCCTGAACACTGCCGGGTGTGGTCCCCAAACCAAAAACAAACAACAAAAAGACCAGAGGGCCCAAGAGACAGGAAGGTGCTGGCTTTGCATGTGGCTGGCCTGGCTTTGGTCCCAGAGCCACACAGGGTCCCCTAAACCCCAGCAGGAGTGATCCCCACACACAGAGCGAAGAGTAATCCCTGAACACTGCTGGGTGTGCCCCCCCCAAAAAAAAGTGTAGAACCAACCCCAGCCCTCTGGGTCCACCTTCACTGGAACCCACAAGTTGGGTCCCAGACGCTGCCCCACCCCCCACCCTACTGCCTCTCGCAGCAACCTGAAACCTGGAGATGTGGAGCGTAGGCTGAGCGTGGAGGTGTGGGACTGGGACCGGACCTCCCGCAACGACTTCATGGGCGCCATGTCCTTCGGGGTGTCAGAGCTGCTCAAGGCACCCGTGGATGGCTGGTGAGTGGGGAGGTGGCCTGGCTCGATCTGTGTGTGGGCTCGTCCTTGATGCTCTCTGTCTCTCTTTAGCTCACTGTCTCTCTCCATCTCTGTCTCTCCATGTCTCGGCCTCTCCCTTGGGTGCCCCTCCCCATCTGCACTTAAGGTACAAGTTACTGAACCAGGAGGAGGGAGAATATTACAACGTGCCGGTGGCTGATGCTGACAACTGCAGCCTCCTCCAGAAGTTTGAGGTACCCAGACCCCGGGTGCCTATGAGGAGCCCAGTTCAGCCTCTCACAGTTCAGAGCTGGCCGGGTCCTGCACCCCTGGCTGCCCACTGGCCCTGGGACTACCATTCCCAGAAGACACTGGAACTGCCATGCTCTGCTTTTCTAGTGGCCTCCTTCCCAGGCTCTCATGGGAATTGTAGTTCCTGTTAATCCCTTGGCTGGGGTAGGGGCAATCTCCAACCTCTCTTGGGACTCTGACTCTCATTTTCTTCTCCCCCAGGCCTGTAACTACCCCCTGGAACTGTATGAGGTGAGTAGAGCCAGATTGACTTGAAGATAACTTCATCCAATAGGTGCCCCTCGCTTCCCATGCAGGGGGGTGAGTACTTCCTCTGCAGGAAGGAGCTGTGAAAGTCAGAGAAAATTTTGTTCTGTTTGTTTGGGTTTGGGCTTGGAGGCCATGCCCAGCGGTGCTCAGGGCTGACTCTTGGCTCTGCACTCAGGAATCACTCCTGCAGTGATCAGGGGATCCTATGGGAAGCCGGGGATTGAACCCCAGTCAGTCTAGTGCCAGGCAAGTGTTCTCCCTGTTGCACTATCGCTCCAGCTCCAGGGAGAGGTTGACAGGCTGGGAGTCGAGTATTGTAGAAGGCACGAGGTGGGAGGGTGGGGGGAGAAGAAAGGGCCCTGGGCAGAGGGGGAGGCCCAGTTTCCAGGTCAGAGGGAGGAGCCCTGTGGCTCCCGCCTTCTGCACAGCATGCAGTTCCCTCGCTGGAGAGCTAGCAGAGAAGACAGAAAATAAAAAACAGAAAGAAATCCCTCCCAGTATAAGCAGTATCATCAAGTAAGAGAAGTGACAGCACAAGGTCCTGTGTCCAAGTGACAACTGAGTTTCTGGCATGCACTTGGGCAGCCATGTGTGCAGTGCCACAGACAAAGTGACCTGTCACTGCCCCCCACAGCCCCAGGACCCCACCTTTAGGTTGGAACCAAACCTTTGTTTAGTGGTTCAGCAATGCATGACTGTTACAAAGTGACAGGGGTAAAGTAAGTAAAGTAAAGGCCCTCCCGTTGATCATCCATTTGCTCGAGGGGGCCCAGTGACTTCTCCATTGGAGACTTTGTTGTTACTGTGTCTGGCATATGAATACTCTCTGTAGCTTGCCGGGCTCTCAGAGAGGGACGGAGGAATCGAACTCGGGTCGGCCATGTTGGCTGCGTGCAAGGCAGACGCCCTACCCGCTGTGCTATCGCTCCAGCCCAGGGGACATGGGACATGGGACATGGGACAAAGTGACAGGGGACATGGGTCAAAATGATAGCACATTGGGGAGGGCGCTTGCACACAGCCAACACAGTTCTATCCCTGGCTTCCCAAATGGTCCCCTGAGCCCGACCAGGAGTGATTCCTGAGTGCAGAGCCAGGAGTAACCCCTGAGCATCACTGGGTGTGGCCCAAAAACCAGAAAAAGAAAAAGTGACAAGGGACATGTCCTTGGAACATGAAGCCAGGGAGAAGAGCCAGTTATTATTTTTTTAATTGGATTTTTTTAATTGAATCACAGTAAGATACACAGTTACAAAGTTGTTCATGATTCAGTTTCAGTCATATAATGTTCCAACACCCGTCCCTTCACCAGTGCACATTTCCCACCACCAATGTCCCCAGTTAGGCAACTATTGGGGGAGACTAAAAAGGGGGTGAACCCCAAAGGGGCAGGGTGTTAATCCTTAGAAAATCTCTGGCTTTGCATCAAGTGTGTTGGGACGGGCTGGAAAGGTGTTCAGCACAAGATGATGGGAGTGCGGGGAGAGTGGAGCAGAGAACAAGATGCAGGCTGGGGGGCACTGCAGGACCTTGCCTGGCCCAGAGCAGACAGCCCCAGCCGGTGCATGCTGCATGCAGTTCCCGAGATCTGCATCCCAGGGCCTCATGCTGAGCCCTGGGTTCCAGTAAGGTGGCTGCGGGGACATATCAGGAGCCAGGATGTGCACTCTCGGATGTGATAGTACTCCAGGTTTGCAGGACAGATTCTCTGGGGCACTGTGGGCACACGGGAGTCTGCAGCTCCCAGCTCGGTGCTTGCCACAAGGCTGACCGAAGGCCTGAGAGACAGGAGGCTCAGAATGTGGGGTTCAGCAGGTGACACAGGGAAAACTCTATTTTGAAGCCTTTCTGCAGAGCTGCTTGCTAGGGATCCCAGGCATGACTGGAATTTGGCATTTCAGCCAAATTCTTTGGGAGCTTCTTCTGCATCTTTGAGAAGGGACTGTATAGAGAGGGAAGGCATGAGGGAGGAAAGTCACGCTCAGAGGCTGCACCATGGGACACCCCGTCCCTCGGCAGCGTTTCTGTGCATTGAATCAAAGGCACTTAGTCAAAGGGGACCAGTCAGGTGGTGCACACGGAGTAGGGGGTGCAGGGGGACACAAGAGTGAGGGTGGCACTTTAGGTGATTGGATGTGTCTGAAGGAGCCGAAGGCTTGTGAGGAATGGTGGAGACAGGCGGCTGCTGGCGGCAAATCCTGGAACATACAAAATAGAGCAGCCCAGTTCTAGTCTTGCTTCCTTAGCATGTTGGGGTGAAGTGGACCCCTTGGGGAGTCGGGGGTTCCATGTAGAGGAAAACAAGGCAGAGAAAAGGAAATCTCCACATGAGGTCCTTGGGACCCCTTTGGCTCTGTCTCACGGGTGGGTCCTCCGTCTGTGGGGATTTGCGATGGGCCAGGATGGCATGAGGTGCCTGAATTTGAGCTCTCAGTAGGCACCTGGACATGAGCCTGGTGTTGGGTGTGTGATAAGGAGAGGCCAGCGCAATGGGGCTGGACACTGCCTTTGGCACTGCATTTGTGTGTAAATTGCTTTAATTCACATAAGGTCCCTTGTGTGACTGGGATGTGCCATTTTCCCAGCTTTGTTTTTTGTTTTTGTTTTTGTTTTTGGTGTTTGTGCCATACCCAACAGTGTTCAGGGATTACTCCCAGTTCTATACTCAGGAATTATTCCTGGCGGTGCCCAGGTGTCGAATCTGAGTCAGCCTCATGCAAGGCAAACACTCTCCCAACTGTGCTCAGGCCCTATCCCAGCTTTGTTGATGATAATTTGGGAATCCCATCCCCAGCTCTGCCCCAGCAAGTCGCAGGGCTGAGGTCTGCATCTCCGCTGCCCTGCTGTTCTGCTACACATGGTGACGCTGTTCAGTGCATGCTAGGGGGTGGGGTGGGGAGCAGACCCCACCTCAGGGAGCTCAGGCTTAAGCTGACCTCTGGGATGACTAGTGGGCCCTCAAGAGCTCTTCATGTTGCTGCCCGAGAGCCAAGCAGCCTCCCTGCTGGAGGAAGACTTCTGTGTGTTTTGGTTTTTGGGCCACACCTGGCGGTGCTCAGGGCTGACTCCTGGCTGTGCTCAGGAACCTCTCCTGGTGGTACTCAGTGGGACCATATGGGGTCCTGATCAAAACTTGTTCAGCCATGTGAAGGACAAATGCCCTCCCCCACTGGGGTCTCTTGGCCCCAGGAGGACTTTTGAAGCAAGGTCTGAGTCATGGTCTCTAGTAGGACTTGGGGGGCAACTGGGGGTTTCAGGAACCTCTAGGCAGAAGGAGCTGCTCCTCCAGAGGTCTTGTGGTGGGAAATGCTCTCCCAAGAGCCTCCTTCCTGGCATTGCAATCCCCTAGAGTTCAACCTTAAGTACAAGGAGAGGTGGTTGGAGTTTAAAGACACAGGGAACATAGAACCTGGTTCATTTAGTTTTAGATTGATCCCTATGCCCACCGAGAGGGGACTACGTTAGATAGCGACATTGATTTTAAACCTTGGTTTTGTTTGTGTTTTTTGGGGTCACACTCAGCAGTGTTCAGCACTCCTGGTGATGCTCAGGAGACCGAGTGATGGCAGAGATTGATTCTCAGGCTCCAGGCAGTGAGCAGCCTCCTTGGTCCAAGTTTTCAAACATTTTCTGGGGTTGTTTTTTGTGTTTGTGCTATACCCAACGATGCTGGCTCTGCACGCAGGGAATCACTCCTGGAAGTGTTCAGGGAACCTTAAAGATGCCAGGAATTGAACCCGGACCAGCTACATACCAGACAAGTGCCCTACCTGTACTATCTCTCTGGCTCATTCAAAGCATTAAAAAATTTTTTTTTGGCTTTTTGGGTCACACCCGGCAATGCTCAAGGGGTACTCCTAGCTCTGCACTCAGGAATACGCCTGGCAGTGCTTGGGAGACCATATGGGATGCTGGGGATCAAACCCAGGTCATCACATGCAAGGCAAGTGCCCTGCTTGCTATACTATCACTTCGATCCCAGCCTTGGGTTTTTAATTTACATTTTTCCCCTTCGTGTAACTCTGGGCAAGGTCAACATGGTATTCTCTGATCCACTTTTGTCTTCTTTAAAAGTGAGGGGTGGAAAAAAGTGAGGGCTGGGGGGCTGGAGCGATAGCACAGTAGGTAGGGCATTTGCCTTGCACATGGCCGACCCAGGTTCTATTCCCAGCATCCCATATGGTCCCCCGAGTACCACCAGGAGTAATTCCTGAGTGCATGAGCCAGGAGCAATCCCTGTGGATACACCGGGTGTGACCCCCCACCCAAAGCAATAAATAAATAAATAAAAGTGGGCTGGAGCAATAGTACAGTGGGTAGGGCGTTTGCCTTGCACTCGGCCATCCCAGGTTCAATTCCCAGCATCCCATATGGTCCCCTGTTCATTGCCGGGTGTGACCCAAAAAGCAAATTAAATAAATAAATAAAAGTGAGGGGTGGGTTTTCCAGAGGTAAGCTAGTGACCAGCTAGTTAGGTGGATCCTTCCTGACTCTGGAAGGTTCTCAAAGCAAGGAGCTTGGGGGGCAGGGGAAAGATGTTAATTCCCTTCTCCACCCCCAGTCTAGCATACTTGGGTGCTGTCTCTCTGTGGGTGCCTCTGTTTGCAGGCCTGGGGTCTGCTGACTGCCTCACCTCTGTCCCTCTCTCACAGCGGGTACGGATGGGTCCCTCCTCTCCCATCCCCTCCCCGTCCCCCAGTCCCACTGATCCCAAACGCTGCTTCTTTGGGGCGAGCCCTGGACGCCTACACATGTCAGACTTCAGCTTCCTCATGGTCCTCGGAAAAGGCAGCTTTGGGAAGGTAGGATCCGGAGCCCTGGGGGGCGGAGAGGAGGTCTGGGGGCTGGGGGGTCTGATTTCTGGGAAGGGACACTCGGTGGGTTCCTGAGTTCCCCGGGTGTAGAGGAGAGGTATAAAGAAGCAGACACTGTTCAGGGAATGGTGAGCAAAGTCAGAGGTCCCGGTACCATGGAGAGGAGGGGGTGAGGGGGGAGGGTGGAGCAGGGAAGGACTTGGGTTTCCCAAGACGAACTGGGCCTTTGGAACCTCTGTGTGTAGGTGATGCTGGCCGAGCGCAGGGGCTCAGATGAGCTCTATGCCATCAAGATCCTGAAGAAAGACGTGATCGTCCAGGATGACGACGTGGACTGCACGCTGGTGGAGAAACGCGTGCTGGCGCTGGGTGGCCGAGGCCCCGGCGGCCGGCCCCACTTTCTCACTCAGCTCCACTCCACCTTCCAGACCCCGGTATGGAAGCGGGCAGGCTGGATCCGGAGCCCAGCCTTGTGCCTCCTGCATGAACCTAGCACCTGATTCTTGTGGATTCTGAGTTTTCCAAGGCTGGAGAATCTTCTTTGCCACCCTGGAGAGAGCATGAACAGGAGTCTGAGCCTTGGTGGGCGTGGTGATGAAAAGCTGGGGGCGTGTCTAGAAGGTGGTTTGCCCCGCCCCGTGAGCGTGACCGGAAAGCCAATCAGAAAGCTGGGGTCCTGAGTGGGTGTGGCATCGCTAATTAGCATTTGAGTGGTCTTTTTGACCCCAGTGATGCTCAAACCTTAGTCCTGTCTCTGTGCTCAGGGATCACTCACTCCTGGCAGAATTATATGGCATGTCGGAGATCAAATCTGGTCAGTCTTGTGCAAAGCAAGCCCCTTCCCTTCGTGCTATCTCTCTTGCTCCTTGAGTGTTTTATGAGCAACGGATTTTTAGAGAGTTTTTCGGGCTATGCCCTGGTGTTCTCAGAAGCCATTTATTCCTGGTTCCGTCCGTGCTCCAGAGTGACCTGGCCTTGGTCTGGAAACCAGATGTGGTACTGGGGTTCGAACTGAGATTGGCTGCACATAAGTATGTTCCTTAGTCTCTCTTTCCCCACTGCCCCTCCACAGGAAGCAAAGGTTTTTGACTGGAAAGATGCATTGGGAATGTGCTCTGATTGGGTGGGTACAGCTGGACTTTGTCACAAAGTCATTGTCCCTTGGATTCTGAGGGTAGGAGTTGTTAGAAACAGGGTGTTTCTCCAAAACTGTGGAATAAGATAAGGAAGTTGAGAGGTTGTGTCTCTACTTCCAAGAGCCCTGAGTAGATGTGAGTATGTATGTATATAATATACCACAGGTGAGGCCTGAATAGTGGTGACTCCTAATGGGGGGACAGAATTGAATATGGATGTGAGTGAGGTGGGAAGAACTTGTATCCCCAGGATTTCCAACAAATGAGGAGACTGATCTTCAATTTTGAGAGGGCTGATCAGAATAGCTAGTAGCTCAGAGCAACAGGAGTTGGGTAGATGGAGATTTCTGGGTGACCAGGTTAGAATGGCTGGAGCTCCTGGTGGACATGGCCAGTTATATGGAGTCCCTAATTAGGAGTCTCCAGTTGTGTCCAGAGTGGGCAAAAAAGTGCATTTCCTGGGACTGGAGCAATAGTATAACGGTAGGGCAATTTTCTTCCATTTGGCCGAACCAGGATTGATCCCTGGCTTCCCATATGGTCCCCTGAGCATTGCCAGGAGTGATTCCTGAGTGCAGAGCCAGGAGTGATCCCTGAGCATAGCCAGGTGTAGCCCCACACATCCATTAATACAGACATTTTCTGCTCTGGTGGGTCTTGCTTTTAAGCTCCACCTACCATCCTGCCCCTCAGGACCGCTTGTATTTTGTGATGGAGTATGTCACCGGGGGCGATCTGATGTACCACATCCAGCAGCTGGGCAAGTTCAAGGAGCCTCATGCAGCGTGAGTCCCAGCTGAGGGGGCAGGAATCTGAGATGGAGGTTGGGGTCTACTCTGGCCTGACTCCCTGTGCCCTTCCTCCAGGTTCTATGCGGCAGAAATTGCCATCGGCCTCTTCTTCCTCCACAACCAGGGGATCATTTACCGGTGGGTGGCCCCAGCCTTTCTGTGGCCAGAAGCCAGGTCCTGGGACTGGGGGGAGGGGATCCCAACTCAGGGCCGTAGGCGGGCACACCCAACCCTAGACCCTACCCAACTCCCCCTCCCCCACCCCCGCCTGACTCCCAGAGACCTGAAACTGGATAATGTGATGCTGGACGCCGAGGGACACATCAAAATCACTGACTTTGGCATGTGCAAGGAGAATGTCTTCCCGGGTACCACCACCCGCACCTTCTGCGGAACCCCAGACTACATAGCTCCCGAGGTAACCCCCGCTCTGCCCCTCCCAGCGCTCTCTGATGTTTTCTGGGCTGGTGGGACTTAGGGGTGCGGGGCTGGCCTTGGGGGTGTCTTCCTATGAACTGTGTGTCCGTGTGATCCGGCACTGAGCAAGCAGCCAGGAAAGGCAGGAGCCCCCCCCCCCCCACTCTCAGGTGGGAGCTGGGTCTGGAAATAGGCAGAGTGGGCGGGGCCAGCTCAGGGGGCGGTGCTGAGGAGAAGCGTGGGTCACCGGACTGTTCTGTAGATGTGAATAGTGAAGATGGTTGTAAATGTACTCTGAGGGGGCGGGCCGCCTCCCACCAGCCCCCCCCCCCAACTAAACGAGTGTAGGCTGGTTCCTGAGTGTTGCCAGCGGGTGTGGGGTGCTGTGCCATTGTTACGGGGGTAGGGCTAATGATCGAGTGTAGGGGTAGAGAGTGTGCTCCAACTTTCCTCAGTCGGAGAGTGGGGTGTTGGGGCGGCATCCTTCAGTTTTCCAGACGATTTAATCCTATTGATGCCAGCGTTTCCAAAACTTGACTGTTAATCAGAACCGCCTGGAGATCTTTGGCAAACCACACACCTGTATTTCTGCCTCTGCCTCTGGCCCCTGGCACAGGAATTCTTCAGAACCGGGAGCATCTTCTCTTTAACTAGCTTTGTGGAAATGTGTCCAGATTTCAGGGTCTCTGGTATTTAGCCCTCTGCCCCCATCTTGAATTAGATAGATCTAATTACTGAAATCTGGGTGCAATTTGTAGGTTGGCGCTTGGAAAGTCTTTCCATTTGTTTGTGTGGCTTGTTTCTTAGGCCCTACTGGCAGTGCTCAGGGCTGACTTCTGGCTCTGTGCTCAATGATCACTTCTGGTGGGCTATGAGGTGCTGGGGATCAAAACCCAGTCAACCCTTCACAGGGTGAATGCCCTACCCACTGTACTGTCTCTCCACCCCCAAAGTCTTTCTGTTTGGAACTCAAGGGATGCTCTAAAGAAATACAGGTTTCCCCCTGACTTTTCCAAAGAATGGAGCTCTGGCCAAAGTACTTGGAGTGGCAGAGTTTATACTGCAAACATCTGAAGTGGGCAGAGGGTGCTCAGAACGTGGGCTGGGATTTCCTAAGGACAATATTGATTCCTGGCCTCCCCCAGATCATCGCCTACCAGCCCTATGGGAAGTCTGTCGATTGGTGGTCCTTTGGGGTTCTCCTGTATGAGATGCTAGCAGGGCAGGTAAGGAAGCTGTGGGGAAGCTGCCTGTTTATTTTTTATCTTATGTCTTGTGTTGTTGTGTTTGGGGCCACAATGGGTGGTGCAGGACTTACTCCTGGCTCTGAATTCAATGATCACTTATGGTGGGGCTTGGGGGACCATATGGGAAACGGGGCATCAAACCTGGTCACCTGCGTGCAAGACAAATGCCCTATCCATTGTACTATCGCTCTGGTCTAATGAATCTGCCCGTTAAAAAACATCACTGCAGTGGCAGGCGGTACTCTGGTATTTCTCTGGGCAGAAGGAACCGCTCTGGCCATTGGAGCTGTCCGTGGTCCTGAAGGAGTGTCTCCCCTGCCGGTTTGCTTCAGGGAGTGAGCAGAGCAATTTGATGCCCCCCACAGACTTCACATCTTCTGATAAATGTTGTTAGTACATGAAATGAAAATTTTTTATGTTTTTGGGCCACACTGGGTGGTGCTCAGGGATTCCGCCTGGCTCTGAGCTCAGGGAACACTCCTGGTGGGGCTTAGGGGATCATATCGGGAACCAGGATTTGAACCAGGTCAACCATGTGCAAGACCCTACCTGCTACACTACTACATTATCCCTCTGACCCCCAAACAAAGAATTAAAAATCCAATAATTTTAAAATATGTTAAAGATCTCAAAAATTTAATGGAATCTAATCTAGCCAATGAAGCAAGTTTTAATTGTATACAATTGTCAAAATCTTAAACATTGGAGTTCCCGATATGATCCCCTAAGCCCCAGTAATGAATCCCATAATAGAACCTTTGGATAACAGGAAGTACTAGGAAGTTCTGTTGGTAATTTTGAAGTTGCAATGATGGATATTTTGAGATATTTTCAACTCTGATGTGATAAAGTGCCTGTGACTTTTACTGGTGGTGAAGTCACAGGTATGGCTATTTGCTGCCTACATTTGTCATGGAAAACAACGGGAAAGAGTTATTTTTTTTTAATTAATAAAAGTCATCCCCCATGTTTGTGAACTCTCTCAACGGTAGACACAGACTCCCTGGACAGTCCCTGTCCTGGCACTTTACCTAACCTTGGAAGCCTTAATTCTTCATGCACCCAGAAGAATGTTTTCCTGAATTCTATCCTGTCTCCTATTGAAGTGACATATTGCCTAATTAACACCCCTGTCTGCTGCAATTTACATGGCAGATGAGCTAGCCCCACTCACTCTCAAGGACAGCAGAGTGCTGCAGAGCTGCGGCTTGGAAGGAGAGGGCTGGACAGGAAGAAAGACAGAGCCTGGTGGCTTGGGAAAAATCTTCCCTGGCATTTGTGTGTGTGTTTGTGTGTGTCCATGGTGCGTGATATGGGTGTGGAGAGGTTTGTAAATCTCTGTTGCTTCCCTCCCTCCCCTGCACAGCCTCCCTTTGACGGGGAGGATGAAGAGGAGCTGTTCCAGGCCATCATGGAGCAAACTGTTACCTACCCTAAATCGCTCTCCCGGGAAGCTGTGGCCATCTGCAAGGGGGTGAGAGCTCCTGACCCCTGAGTCTCTGGGCTCATAGCCCATGGCATGCCGTCTGGGCCACTCAGGCTGCCCGTGTGGTCTGTGGTGTGCTCCAAGGAAAGGGATGCCTCTTCTTCCACCTGCAGCAGCTGGGGCTGGCCTGAGGTTTTGCCTGGATAGTCCTTTACTGACTCTTAGTCCAAGAATGGCCCCATCCCCCACACCCCCCATTCCCACCAGCACAGCACAGGAAGTGCCAGGATGCCGGGCCCCTGCTGCTTTGGGTCTGGGCCCGGATGCTGCCGCTTTTCCTGTGGTGGGACCTTGGGCAAGGCCCTGCAATCTGGGAGCCTTGGAGTGCTGCAGGGCATCAGCATGGGTGAGGGAACGAGCTGGGTGTCTGACTGCGGACTTGGCCACGGCTCCGTCCCATGTCTCACTGACTCTTTCCCTGTGGCTTTCTGTCTCGTGCTTATGCTGGGACTCTCTGTTACTCCTTTCAACTCTCTGCCCCCACGCTCTGGATCTCTCTCCTCTCCTTTCTGAGTCCCTGCCTTGTGCGGCATCTTTATTCCTCTCTCTGGCATGTGTGTGCATACATGTATGCAAATGTGTATGTTCATATGCCTGTGTGTGCATCTGTGTGTTTGTGTGCATGTATGTCTGCATGCATGCATGCATGACTTTTTATGTGTCCGTGCATGTGTATGCATTTGTGCACATGTGCATTTGTGTGTGCACATGCATGTTCTTGTGTCCATGTGTCCCTGTGCCTGTGCTACCCTGGCTTGGCTCTCTGCCTCTTCCCACCTCCTCCCTATTTTCCTCACCTCTGTCCTCCCTCCCACCTCATGACCTCCTTTACTCTCCCTGCACCCCTTATGCTGTGTCGGGGTCTCCTCTGCCCTGCCACCCCCATGCCCTCATCTGCCTTTTCCTTTGGGTCCCTCGATCTCTGGGTTTTGCTTCGATCTCCCCCCTCTCCTTTACTCTCCACCTTCCTCTTCTCCCTCTGTCCCCGCTGTCTTTTGCCTTTTCCTGCCTCCATTTCTCCATCTTTGCCTTTCTTGGGCATCCTCTGGGCCGCGCTGTCTGGGACTCTGTCTGTCTGTCTGTCTGTGCCTCTTGTCCCTCACAGTTCCTAACCAAGCACCCGGCCAAGCGCCTGGGCTCAGGGCCGGACGGGGAGGCCACCATCCGCGCCCACGGCTTCTTCCGCTGGACAGACTGGGAGAGGTTGGAGCGCCTGGAGATCCCGCCGCCCTTCCGGCCGCGCCCGGTCAGTCCCGACCTGGCCCTGAGTTCCCGTCCCGGTGGGCGCGGGGCGGGGGTGGAGGGCAGCACCCGGGACACAGTAGTCCTGGAACTTCAAACGCCTCCTTCCCCGCGTCCCCTCTGCAGTGTGGCCGCAGCGGCGAGAACTTCGACAAGTTCTTCACGCGAGCGGCGCCCGCGCTGACCCCCCCAGACCGCCTGGTCCTGGCCAGCATCGACCAGTCCGATTTCCAAGGCTTCACCTACGTGAATCCGGATTTCGTGCACCCGGACGCCCGCAGCCCCGTCAGCCCGGTGCCCGTGCCCGTTCTGTGATCGCGCCTGCTGCCACGAGGTGTCGCTGCTGCCCCCGCCGTCGCGCCGGCCCTCCCTCATGCCCCCAGACCCCCGCCCGTCACCCCCCCCTCCCCGCCCCGTTTCGCTCCCGAGCATTCTGGCTTCTCCCCCGCGGGGGTTGCGCGCCCCTGCCACGCCCTCCCGGCACGCTGCACTCGGCCCAGTCTCACCGGGGTCTGGATTCTGCTGAATGGGCTCGCTCATCTCAAGGGGACTGGACTGCGACTCCCGGGGGCCTGAATCTACAGCCCCGCCGGGTTCTAGACTCCGTTTTGCTAGATTCTCTCTCTCTCTCTCTCTCTCTCTCTCTCTCCCTCTCTTTCTCCCTCCCTCCCTCTCTCTCTCTCTCTTTCCCTCTCCCCCCTCTCTCTTTCTCCATCCCTGGGGTGGGTTGGCCCAGAACCATTCCCCCACCCTCCCGCCTCCACTCCGTTCCAGAGTAAGTGGGTGGCTGTGCCCCCTGCACTCTGCACGCCTCTTCTACATCCTAGGATGTACAAAGGATTCTTTCCCGACTTATAAATCAGCTTTTGTCCTGGACCCTCCACCACCCTCGGCACTGTCCCCTCCCAAGCTTGCCTGCCAGGTGCATGGCCCCAGTTTCTCCTGCTCGGATCCCCACTCCACGCCCAATGCCTGCCACTACTCTGGGGACTCCCCCCCGTCCCCACCCCCGTCCTCTTTGCATCACTGGCCGGCCACAGCTGCTGGAGAATAAATTTGGGATGCCTTCGCTGAAGTGTTTAGATGTTTTCCTCTGAGCTTGGAGAGTGAAGGAGGTGCGGAGGTGGGGAATGACTGCACATGTAGAAACAAACAGAGACGGATGGACAGACAGGATGAACAGACACAGCCCCAGACCAGGGACGGAGTGGACACGCCCCCGGGGGGGTGGTCCACAAGCAGGTCCTGGAGGGCTTCTCAGAGGCACAGAGACACACTAGGAAGGCGAGGCAAGGCCAGACCCCCCAGAGACCAGGGTCCGAGGGAGAGACCCAAGATAGGAACCACCGCCAGCAGCACTCGGGAGCCGACGCCCGCGGACGCAATCCGACCGCTCTTCCTAGACCCTCTTGAGAGTGGAAGCAGCGGTGAGGGCAGTCCGCAGGGACTACGCTTCCCAGCAGGCACTGCGGCGGACCCTTCCCCTCGAGGGCGGCCCTCCCCGTAAGGGGCTGATGGGAAATGCAGTTCCCTGGACGGAGACCGGCCCGTCAAATGGTGCGCCTCTATGTCAGTGTTAGGAAGGGACTGCACCCCAAAGCTTCGCAGGCTCCCTCGTGGGTTGTGCGTGTGTGTGTGTGTGCTGGGGCGGCGATTCTCTGCTCCTGCAGGCTCCTGGGTTTCCGAGGAGCTGGTGCTGGCGCTCCCCCGCGTTTCGCCCTGCATCACCGCGGGACCCCTCCCCCCGTGCCCGCGGCCCGCAGCCCCCCGCTCCGACCCTCGGCGGGCGGCCTGCCCCTTTAAGAGTGGCCCCGCTGACATCACGGCGGGAGGGGGGGCTGGCCCGGCTCCCGGCTCCGCGGCGGCTGCAGGACCCGGCTCCGCTCTGCGCCCGCCCGCTGCTGGGGGACCCCGGCCCGGGACGCCCCCTCCCTCCTCCGGCCGCCCGGACTCCAGCTCCGCCGCCGCCGGGCCAGAGCCCCAATCCTCCTGAGGGGACCCCAGCGATAGCCCGTGCTGCCTCTCCTTCTCGGGGTCCTCTCCCCCCACCCCGTTCTCTCTCCCCGCTCAAGGTCTCTGGGTCTCGGCGTCTCTCCACCCAGGGCCTCGGAGCGTCTCCCCGGCTCCCTCGGCCGCTGCACGCTCTGGGTCTCCGGGCTGCGAGTCCGGGAGGAGGGGGGCTCGCCCGCGTCTGCTCCCCACTGCGGCCCCGCGCGCCCCCATTCCCCAGGCCCGGCTCCGGGCGCCCCTCCCCTCGGCCGCGGCAGCCAATGAGCGCCCGCCGGCCCCAGCGCCCGGCTCCGACCGCTGAGTGAGGCCGCGGCGCGGGGGGCGGGGGGCGGCGGCCGGGAGGGGCCGGGACGCCGGGCTCCGGGGCGGGGGCGGGGGGCACGGGCACCGGCGACCCCGGCGGCGGCGGCGGCGGCCGGGCCGAGCCGCGGGGCCGGTCATGCGGCTGCGGGGCCCGCGGCCCGGAGCGTGCGCCCAGCCCTGAGCGAGGTGAGCGCGAAGGAGGGTCCCGCGGCCGAGGAGGCGCTTCGGGAGGAGGCCGGGCTGGTGGGCTCGCGGGACCCCGAGGGGCTGCGGCCGTGCGGCTGCGGCGGCCCGAGCTCCAGAGCTCGGGGCCGCACGGAGGGGTGGAGGGCATTTGGGCCTAAGGAGTCGGGGTGCGGGGGATCGCTCTGGGGGGCCCGCGAGCGAGGCAACTCAGGTCCGGAGCCCCGGGACTGGGCGCTGAGGGTGGGGCCGGCGGAAGGCGGACCCGGGCGCGGGATGTGGGTCCCCAGGAACTAGGAGCGCGTCTTCCGCGAGGTGGGAGAGGGATGAAGTTTGCATCTGGGACTTGGAAGGTGGGACACCCCCCGCCCCCCGCCGCGGTCCAAGAGCCTGGATTGAAGGGGCCGAAGGGCGCTCCAGGCCTGGCGTGGAGGGTGGGGGCGCAGGGGGACGTCCCAGAGGAAGAAATGCTGGAGGGGAAAGATCCGGGCGGGCGAACTCGGTTCCAAAGGGGACGCGACGAGGGTGGCAACGGGCCAGGCACCGCAGGGGTCCGAGGAGCTACTGAGGGGAGCTGAGGTCAGCGTCGGGGTGCCGGCCGGGAGCTTTGTCAGCGTCGGGATACGGGGCCGGGCCGGGAGCTTTGTCAGCGTCGAGATACGGGGTCGGGCCGGGAGCTGCGGTCAGCTTCGGGGTGCCAGGCTGGGCCGGGAGCTGCGGTCATCGTCGGGATGCCGGGCCGGGCGGGAGCTGCGGTCAGCGCCGGGGTGCCGGGCCAGATGGGAGCTGCGGTCAGCCTAGGGGTACCGGGCCGGTCGGGTGGAGAGCGGAGCTTCAGGAGCACCTGGCTGCAGCTGGTGGGGACTGGGGCAAAGCGGTCGGAGTCAGAGTCCGCGGCCTGGATCCCGAGTCCTGCGAGTCCTGCGGGGGTTGGGGGGTGGAGGGCAGGACTGCACCCCCCCCCCCCCCAGTGCTAATGAAGGCTGTTTCAGGGCACCCCAGTTGCTTCGGGTAGGATAGTTTCAAGACAACGAAGATTCTTTTCAACAGAAAAGTTGGGGGGGTGTCTCTTTGTTTTTTTTTTTTTCTTTTTTGGGTGGTGGGAGGAGAGGCACACTGGATGGTGAGGCTTTCTCCTGACTCAGTGCTCAGGGATCCCTCCTGGTGATGTGTCAGGCTCCAGGATTGGATCTGGAGTTGGTGGTATGCAAGGCAAGCGCCTTCCCCTTCCCCAGTACTGTATCTTGGGGGGGGGGGTCTTGAGACTTGGCTGCATTGTTGGGAGTGTACTGGGACAGGGGGAGTCAGAATTCCTGGGTTAGATCAAAGGGGGATCCCAAATTCACGCTTTCCTCCTTCCTCTTCCCCCCAATCCCTGGGATTTTGTGGCTTGAGGAGGGATGAGGTTATGGTTCAGGAATCAAGAGTTTTTTCCTTTAGAATCTCCAGATTCCTGATGGGGTGTGGGGGAATCCACAGCTCTGAACTGGGAACTTGCCTATTCTGAGGTTCAGTGGTGGACGGGATCAAGACACCAGGTGGGGTGTTTGAGGGGGTCTTGTCATTGCACGTGTTAGCTCGGGGCACCAGGACCTGGAATCAACTTTTGTGGAGCTCAGGGTCCAAGCCCTGACAGTCTGAGGAGCTCACTAGACTAGTGGTGATGCTGACCGGCAGATTGAGGTCACCTAGTTCCAGGGTCAGGACCCCACAGCCTGGGATAGAGCCCAGGGAGCTGAACTGGGGGTGGGGCAGTTGGGACTTGGTTATGGGTGTTCCAGGTTTGATCAAATAGAGATCAAGGGTCGGGAGCAGATTTTGATGGTCAGAGACCCAGGCTATGGGTATTAGCTGCATTTAGGGACAAGGAGAAGAGCCTAAGGGTTTGAATTTAGCGGCATGAAGACTCCTCACATGCTTTGGGGTTTCTGGGATCAGGGTCTGATACCTGGGTGTGACACTTAGAGATTCTTGCTTACTGACCCACTCTGGAATTCCTCGGGGACTAAAAGAAAGATGGGTCCAGGATTGTGGGGTCTAGGAAGAGTGTCAAGGCTCCCACTATCCCTCAGCCCCACATACTAGGCACAGCAGGCAGGACTTGACTTAGAGCGGAGGTGAACTGGTGCTTGCTGGCAGTCTGATATTCAAGGCTAGAGACCCAGATGAGGGTGCACATTTGGGGGGGCAGTGCCTGGTCAGAATGTTGAGGTCACAGGTGAGCATAACTGTTTGGAAATGCCCCAGGGCCAGGCTAAAGTGAGGGACTCAGATTCTCAGGAACATCAGAACAGGTTGGATGTCTGGGTCCTACTTTTTATTTTGTGTGTGTGTGTGTGTGTGTGTGTGTGTGTGTGTTTTCTTTTTGGGTCGCACCCGGCGATGCACAGGGGTTTTTCCTGGCTCATGCACTCAGGAATTACTCCTGGCGGTGCTCGGGGGACCATATGGGATGCTGGGAATCGAACTGGAGTCGGTCGCATGCAAGGCAAATACCCTATCCACTGTGCTAACACTCCAGAACCATGTTTGTTTTTTGTTTCTGTGCTCAGAGCTTACTCTTGGCTCTGTTCTCAGGGCTCACTCCCAGTTCTGCTCAGAGAAACACATATAGTGCTGGGGATCAAATCCAGGTTGGCCACACTTCCGGTCTTTCCCACTGTACTACCTCTCCAGCCCCAGGAGGGCCAGTTCCTGGGACTGAAAATTTGAAAGTTGAGTTTTCACTCTGTGGTGTAGAATTAGGGACCTGATCCCAATACGTGGTGTGGAGTCAAGTTTTGGCATCTGGATCTGGGCAGAAGGTGATGGTTGGAAATCTTGTCTTGGGGCAGCTAATCTGGTGTAGCATTTCTGGTCAGATGCCAGTGTTGGAGCCATGCTTGGGAAACCAGTACTGGGGCTCAGGGTTGATTGTCGCTGGTGTCATTGGTTTCATCCAATCTAGGCACTGAAGGAGAAAGGGGGATGGCATGGGTCAGATCACAGGTCATAATTTGAGAGGTCTCTGCTTGGGACTACTGTCTCTGCCTGGGCCCAGCGTTCTTGGGGTTGGCTGGAGGTGGCTGGGGTCGAGACTTGGTCTAGTGTGGTGACTTTCCTCAATGGCTTCCTAGGCCCCGCAGGGCGACCCCCGCCAATAAGGATGAGTCACTGCAGCAGCCGAGCTTTGACCCTGCTGAGTAGCGTGTTCGGAGCGTGTGGCCTGCTGCTTGTGGGCATCGCGGTCAGCACGGACTACTGGCTCTACATGGAGGAGGGCACGGTGCTGCCTCAGAATCAGACCACCGAAGTGAAGATGGCCCTGCACGCCGGCCTCTGGAGGGTCTGCTTCTTTGCAGGTACAGCCCTCACCATGCCCGTCCCCACCCCCGTGCACCCATCCTGCCCCTTCACCCCAGTACTGGGCATGCAGCACCTGCTCGTTGGCACACTCAGAATCCAGCGGGGCTCCAGTGTCCGACTCTTTGTTCTATGCACTGAGGAGCCCCAGTTTGAAGGGGTGGGCTCAGCAGATGCTCTGCCTGAGGCCCTAGGTTTAATCTCCAGCACCTAAGATATTGCTCAATAAAATAAAACAGGAGCCCAATTCTCACACTTGCTCTGGGCCCCAGAGGGGCTGTGTCTAGCCTCAGAACTTGGCCCTGGACAGCTCCAGAGCTGGAATGGGCAGCGTGCCAACCCAGGCCTCCAAAGGACCATGGGGGTTGGGGGTGGTCAGAGAGGGGGACTGTGGGGACAGCTCAGCAGAAGAGCACTCGCCTTGCATGTGTGAGAGCCTGGATCCAGGCCCTGGCACGGCTAATTAAAAACCTTTTCTTTTCCTCAAAGAATCCCCTCTGTCTCCCGCTTAATTTCACTTAGGAATTCCGAAGTCAGGCCCACAGCCCCCCTCATTTGGTCCCCTCCATCCATGGTTGCTGGGGCAGTTCTGCTGGAGAAATTCCAAGGCCCACTGCCCCCTCCTTCCCTGCCCCCTCCTCTAGACTAGGACAGCACATAGCCCTTGGACTGTCCTCACCAGTCCGGGACTCCGCTCTGTCCCGGCCAAGCCTCGCGGGAGTTTAGAGCCTCTTACCAGCTCTGCTTTCTATCTTCTCTCCCCCTCCCCCCCAGGACGGGAGAAGGGTCGCTGCGTGGCCTCGGAATATTTCCTTGAGCCGGAGATCAACTTGGTTACGGAAAACACAGAGAACATTCTGAGTGAGGGGAAACTGGGGCCTTGGAAACTGGGGGCCCGCATAGATGAGACGAGGGTGGGGGGGAGGGTAGAAGCTTCGGAGGGGAGGTGGCATGCCTGGGGGCCAGCCAAACAAGGGCAGGGTCAGCAAGATGGTGGGGGACTAAAGAGCGGGGCCAGAGCGAGGGAAGGGCCAGGAAGCTGGAGCAGGGACCCCCCAAGGGGTGGAGTCAGAGTGATGGGCAGGGCCAAGAAGGGAGGGGTTGTGAGAAGGGACTGGTCTGTCCCAGGAGGTGTAGCCTGGGCAGGCATGGGATGGGGTGCCCGTGAAGGTCCCCCCTCACCCCCCTCTCTCTCCCCCTCCCTGGGCAGAGACCGTGCGCACAGCCACCCCCTTCCCCATGGTCAGTCTCTTCCTCGTGTTCACCGCCTTCGTCATAAGCAACATCGGCCACATCCGCCCGCAGAGGACTATCCTGGCCTTTGTGTCTGGCATCTTCTTCATCCTGTCTGGTGAGCCTCAGGGAAAACCTCCAGGCCAGGGAGGGTGTGTGGTGCTGCTTCCGGGCCAAGGTGGTCAAGGTTGCGCTTCAGCTCTGAAAATTCTTTTCATGCTGTGTGATTTCAGAGGAGTGTTGAAACCTCTCTGGGCTCATCTGCTCCTCTGGGGAGTGGAAGCAGCCATGTCCCCAGCCCCAAACCAACTGTGAGTGCTGATCTGGGTGCTAAATAGGTACCAGGCTGGCTTCTGACGCTGCTGGCCTGTGCCATAAAAGCCCATTTTACAGACAGAAGCAGGCCTGGAGCTCAAGGCTAGCCCCGAGCCCAAGAGCCATCGAGACATGGGGGGTACGGCTCCCGCACACCTCGCCCACAGAGGAGGTATTTTTAACCCTCCTGGTTTACTAGCCGTGAACAGCTTACAGAGCTCTTTATTTTCTGGGCCACATTTTAATCTCAAAAAATGTTCAAACAAGCAGGAAGATCAGAATTTTGGAGTGAGCACTCCTTTGAGTTAATGATTAGCATGTTAGTAGGCTTGCTCCGTCTGTCTCTGTAATACACATGTCTGAGTATGTTGCGAGAGTTAAACCCAGTTTTCACACACACGCACGTGCACGCGCACACACACAAGTTGCTGTTGGTTTATATTTCCAACCATCTTTTGCCCCATAAGTGTCGTTCAGAGCAAGTGCAGGCATCCTGTGCCTTCCCTTAATCCTTAATTGCGTGTCTCATTTAATATGTGTTTACTGCTCTTTCTTCTCTGAGACTTGGGGCTCTTTTGCATGCGTGATCTCACATCCTCTTCACGATGTCTCTGTTGGCGGATTATTAGTACCACTTCCTTGAGGGAACCAGGACTGTGGCCCTGGGCTGTGCAGGGAGCAGCCCATGATACCAGTGCAAATGGGTGCCTAGGTGCTCTCAGGGGACATGTGTGCCAGTTGCCTCTTAGCGTCACCCTCCTGCAAATCTTAGTACAGGCCCAACCAAACCAAGACAGCTCTGCCCCACTCAGCCCAGAACAATTCAGTGCTCACATTTAAGAGTGAAGTGGGGACCAGAGCGATAGTATAGGGGGGAGGTTGCTTGCCTTGCATGTGGCCAACCAGGGTTTATCCTCAGCATCCCATATGGTCTCCCGACCACCACCAGGAGTAGTTTCTGAGTTGCTGAGCCAAGAGTAGCCCCTGAGCATTGTCAGGCATGACCCAAAGTCAAAAAAAAATTTTTTTTTTCTTTTTGGGTCACACCTGGCGATGCACAGGCGTTACTCCTGGCTCTGCACTCGGAGTTACTCCTAGCGGTGCTCAGGAGACCATATGGGATGCTGGGAATGGAATTTGAGTTGGCCGCGTGCAAGGCAAACGCCCTACCCGCTGTGCTATCTCTCCAGCCCCCCAATTTTTTTTAAATAATAAAACCAACAAAGCAAAAATTAATACAGGTCCTTTGAAGTCACTTTTGTTTTGTTTTGTTTTGTTTTGTATTTTTGGGCCACACTTGGAAGTGCTCAGGGATACCTCTTGGCTTTGTGGTCAGGAATCATGGCAGGGCTCAGGGGACCCTATGTGGCAGAAGGGATTGAACCAGGTTGGCTGTATGAAAGGCAAACATCTTCACCCCTGAATTATCTCTCTGGCCTGTCAGTTGGTAGTTTTTGGACAGCCCCACTCTGTCTCCTTTCTATCCTGTCCCCAGTTGGGGAGTGTGGGGACAGGGTGCTGCAGATACTTGAAGCTGGAGCCCTGACATCCCCCGCAGACTGCCAGGGGCTCCTCCCCCAGCCTGTCTAGAGCAAACCTCCCTGTGCCTGCAGCGACCCTGAGAAGATGTTTCTTCCAGGGAAACCAGGGTGCAAGCTCCGAGTACCATGAATCATGGCCTGGGAGCCAGACACTGAGCTAAAATAAGACATGCAGAATAGCATGATCCTGAGTGTCACAGCTGAAAGGGCGCATCGTTTTTCAGGTGGAAAAATAGTGGCCTAGAGAAAGAGCGAGAGGGAGAAAGTGGGACAGTCTAGGGAGGAAGGAGTGAGCAGCTCACTGAGAACAGGACAGTCCTGCTGCCCGTGGTGCCTGTCAGGCAACAGAAGAGGTGACATTGCTGCCGGGGACCAGCTGGGCTCAGAATCCAGGGGTTTCTGTCCCAGACCCTTGCTGGTATCTGACCTCGAAAGGTCAGAGCCGGACACAGGCACCCCCGGGCTGCAAGCAGGTGGCGGGAAAGAGACCAGGGTTCGGGCATTGCATGTGGCCTGCCCAGGTGGGAGCCCCAGCACCATTGGGAGCACCCCCTGAGCACAGAGCCAGGAGTAGCCCTGAAGCCCCAGGCATGGCCTGAGTCTGGCCTGGGAGGGGACAATGAAGCTCCACATAGGAGCACCCCCTTATTCCAGCCAGTTCGCTGCTCTGCCCTCACTACCCAGTCAAGTTCTTTGAGGTTCCCAGGCCCAAAAGCACAGGAGTGGGTTCAAACCCATTACTCACTGCACAGATGGTAACTTTCCTTTGCGGACTTGCTGATGGGACAGATCTTGGTAGGAGATCAGAAATGTTTCCTGCTCCAAGACAGGAGCGTGACTTCCCAGCAGCCCTGCTGGTCTGCTTCGTCTTTGATTTATTTTTGAGATTTCAGAAGAGGGTTTGGGCTACATTTTGTAGTGCTCAGGGCTTACTCCTGGCTCAGTACTCAAGGCTTACTTCTGGCTCAGTGCTCAGGGTTTACTCCTGGCTCAGTGCTCAGGGCTTGAGCTCAGGTGGACCACATGTGAGGCCACGTTCTGACCCATCTCTGGGTGCACTCTGCCATGTGTGACTCACAATCCTTTAACACTGAATTCCATGTATCATTCTCACATCACAAAATGCTCCATTTTTTTTCTTCTTTGCTTCCTTCCATCATTAAGAAGTATAGAAAACACTTGTAGCTGGCAAATAGTACGAGTCCAAGAGCAGAGCCAGCCATTTTCTAGGCAGATAATGTGGCAGGGACAGGCCCTTGCACTAGGCCACCAGCCGGTAGTGGGGGGATCTCACAGAAGCCAGTGCCCAGGTACAGATCACTGAGGCACAGCTGCCGGAACAGGAAACACTCAGCTGAGTGCCGTGGGTTGCCCAAGTTCTAAGTGCTTTGCACAAATTGGGGTTTCCCCCTTCTTCTTTGCCTTGTAAGGACATTATTTATTATTTATGTATTGGTTTGGGGGCCACACCTGGTGGTATTCAGGGATCTTTTCTGGTGATGCTTGGGAAGCCATTTGCTATGCCTGGAATTGAATGGGGCTGGCTATGTGCAGAGCAATGGCCTTTGCCACGTCCCCTCTCTGGCCCCAGCATTATTAAGATGGTTTTCTTTTTTTTCTGTGGTTTTTTTTTTTTGCTTTTTTGGGTCACACCTGGTGATGCACAGGGGTTACTCCTGGTTCTGCACTCAGGAATCACCCCTGGACGTGCTCAGGGGACCATATGGGATGCTGGGAATCAAACCTGGGTCGGCTGCATGGAAGGCAAACTCCCTACTCGCTGTGCTATTGCTCCAGCCCCAAGATGCTTTTCTAGAAGACTGAAGGGCTAAGAGATTTCTCTGAGTGGAAGCAGGTTTTTAACCCCAGCTGCCCCGCCACAGTGTGGAATCACAGAAAGGAAAGAGTCCGGGGGAGAGGAAGGCTGGAGCAGCTCTCATCCCTTTGACCATGAACTTGGACATTCCTGTCAAACCACCTTATATTCCTGATCAGAAAAACAAGATTCAAAAGGAGTGGGACAGGGCTGGAGTAATACCACAGTGAGGAGGGTGTTTTCCTTGCATTCGCTGACCCAGGTTCTCTCCCCAGCATGCCATATGCCCCCCCCCCCACCCCAAACACCACCAGGAGTCATTCCTGACTGCACAGCCAGGAGTAACCCCTGAGCATCGCCTGTTGTAGCCCAGTAAACAAAAATAAGTATAGAAGGAGAGGGATAGAAGTTATCCAAAGACTGAGTTGGCACCGAATTCTGGAAAGCTGGGGCAGGAGAGGGACTGGATCATTCCTGGGTGTCACATGCTGCAGGGACTCACCATGAGGATGGATGAAAGGGAAAGAGATCAGAACACAACCGGCGGGTGAGGGTCTGTGGCTGAGTGGTCAGGCAAGAGCAGGAAAGCTTTGCTCAGGGGCAGGGGTGGGAGGGCAAAGACAGCTGGGTTGCTTGGAGACAGGAAATCAACAAAAGAAGTGTCCAACCAATTGAGTGACTGGACAGTGCTGGAGAGAGAATGGGAGGGTGGTATGGGAGCAGATTGGGCAGACATTGATTTTCTTATTATTCAGGTCAAAACACATGCGTCCCATACATTGCCCACAGTAACTATCTGGCACTCCTCAGATGTCGTGTCTGTATCTTCTTTTTCATTCACTCATCAAACATTTTTTTTTGGGTCACACCTGGTGATGCACAAGGGTTACTCCTGGCTCTGCACTCAGGAATTACTCCTGGTAGTGCTCAGAGGACCATATGGGATGCTGGGAATAGAACCCGGGTTTGCCGCGTGCAAGGCAAATGCCCTACCCGCTGTGCTGTTGCTCCAGCCCCAAACATTTACAGGCGCATCCTGCAAGCCAGCCCCTGTGTGGTGCTCTAGCAGCATGGCCGAACCCTCCATGAGTGCCTGCTTTGGGCCATTCACAAACAGCTTCCAGGGAGACACCTGTGCAAGGTCGCCACGCACCTGCTTCGGCTCCCCCAGGGTTCCGGGAATTCCCACTGTGCTCCCGATTCATCCCATCCGCTTGCTCCCGTGTCCCCCATGACTCTCGCATCAGCTCAGATCTCTGACCTCATTTCCTAACCCACTAACACTCTGTCCACTGCTCTGAGCGCCAGTCACGCTGAGACAAAAAAACAAAACGCCCCAGCTCAAGCCTGTCGCATCAACCCTCTCTGCTTGGATGCCTCTTCCTCCTGACCCTCCGAGGGCCCCAGGTTTCCCTTGTGAGTGCCTGTCTCTGCCTGTCGTATAAT